CAGCAAGCTTTCCTGCACCACGTGGGGGAGCAGAGGGGATGGGACAAGGCCATGGGGGCAGGGGAGGCCCCAACACCAGGGTGTACAGAGCTGCCCTTCTGCACAAATCCACATTCCCCGTGGGCCCTTAGGCGGGTATAGGAACATGTGTGTGCATGTGTGTGCATACGGGTCTATATACATTGTGGGTATGTGTGTATGTATACATGGGCGGGGGCTGTGCATGTGTGTGAGACTCTATGTCTGCATTTGTATCTGTGTGCATGTGGGTCTTTGTGTGCATGTAAATCTGTGTGGGTCCTGCACGTGTGCCAATCTGTGTTTGTGCGGGTCTATGTGTGCGTGTGGGTCTAAGTGTGCATATAGGTCTGTGGAGGGGTCTGTGCACATATGTGAATCTATGAGCATGTGTCTACGTGTGCACGTGGATCCATATGTGCATGTAGGACTGTTGGGAGGGTTTGTGCATATGTGCAGATCTGTGGGAGGGTTATATGTGCATGTGGGTCTATTTTGTGCATATAGGTTTGTGGGGAGGGGGCCTGTGCTCGTGTGTGGATCTGTGGTTGTGGAGGCCTTTGTATGCAATGTGGGCCTATATGTACATAAAGGTCTGGGGGGTTGTCTATGTGCATGTGCAGGGCTGTGGGCACGGGGTATATGTATGTGGGTGGGTCTGTGCGTGTGTGGTTCTATGTGCATGCATGTATGTGTTCTATGTGCACTGTGGGTCTGTGCATGTGTAGAACTATGTGCACGTGTTTGTCCATATGTGTGTGTGTCTGTGTGTGATGTGTGGGTCCATGTGTCGGGGGGGGGGATGTTGGTACATATGTTGCATGCCCTCTTGGTTCTGGAGGCCGGAGCTGACCATGAGGATCCCCCTCCCTGCCCTCATGGAAGCCCAGCAGCCTTCCTGGCCGGAAAAGCTCTGCAACCGGTAAGGATGTGGCAGTGGTGCCATTTCTTCCGCCACCTAGTAAAGGTGGTGTCGCTCCCATTTATAGCCGAGCCCCTGTGACTCAGTGGTGCCGCGCGGCTTCGCTGGCAGTTGGCCAGAGCAGTGTGACCTCCTTGAGGCCCGCAGAGAGCCCAGGAACAAGCAATACGGCCATCGCAGCGATTCTGGGTGCTTTGGCTCCTCCTTCCTCTGGACACCATTGCTGGGGCTTCCTCCCCACCTAGAAGGGCATGAAAGGGTGGGACCGTGTGGATCAGCCTGGAACCGCTCTTGCTACCTTCACACAGCCACCTGCCCAGGTGCCGCTGCCATGGTAGACAACAGGCAAAGCTAAGTAGCCCCCAGATGGCAGAATGATGCCAGCCAGGCGCCCGACACACCTGGTCAGGAAAATGTAGTTCTTGCTCTTAATAACAGTCATTAAAGGGGCGGTGCCCAGCCTCTGTGCCCAGGGTCTGGGTGAGCAATCTCTCTGACTCCCGCCTCCTGTGCCCCCAGCCCCAGTGCGCCCCAAGGCCAGCACACCCCACTTGCCCTTTGCCTGCCTGGCCCACAGAGGCACAGCCAGTTCCACGCCTTCAGGGACCGGATTTGCTTTACATGCTTTTATTCAGATGTCACGGATCCTCCCCCAAGCCTGTTTCCCTTTAAATCAGGCTTCCCAGCCACTGATCCGCACAGGCAGACCACAATCCAGAGTTAGGGTCAAAGGACAGTCACTGATGCCCAGGCCCCCAAAATGCACACAAGTACATCTGCACCCAGACACCCACATAGGAGGACAAACATGCAGATGCAAAGCAGACGGATACATGTGGATCGAGCCAAGTCGACCCCTAGCAGACATGCGCGGGTACTGTAATGCTGAGTACACAGAGATGAGATGTAAAATGACTAATATTAAGCAGTTCCTTTTTTTCTTTTTACTTTAGAAGTGGAGTCTGGGGGCAGGAGCAATAGTACAGCAAGTAGGGCATTTGCCTTGCATGTAGCTGATGTGAGTTCAATCCCTGACATCCCATATGATCCTCCAAGCACCACCAGGAGTGATTACTAAGTGCAGAGCCTGGAATAATCTCTGAGCATTGCTAGATGTGACTCCCAAAATAAAAATGGTGAAAGTGGAGTCTGGGGGGCTGAGAGCTCCCTTACCGGACTAGAGCACAGGTCTTGCAGATAGGAGCCCCAGACTCCAGCCCTGGCCCAAGTGGTCTCCTGAGAACCACCAGGAGGATTCCCCAAGCATGGTGTTGACCCCAAACCAAAAGTTAAATGAAGGTACACAGAATTATGATGCAAATGTGAGCATGGAAAAAAATGCCACTATTTTATATGCCAGGTATGCTATATTGCATACAGGTCTCCCAAGGGGCGCTTGGCCATCCCGTCCTATCCTGCCAGTGGTTCAGTGAGAGGACCTGAGGGTGTGGTGCTGCTTGGGAGACCCAAACGTAAAGTAACATTAAAAAATGAAACTCTTGTACAAAGTTTGGTCACAGGTTACTAGAATGGGTCTCAAGGACAATGTACTAAGTGGAATCAGCTGTCACGGACCTGTACAGAGATTCTACCTGCAGGAGGAGTGATTAGACCCTCAGAAGGCGGAATGGAGGCTACCAGTGCTGGGGACAGTGAAGGAAGGGGAGCTGTTTATGAAGAGACAGTTCAGAGGACCCCAAACTTGTTTGACCTACCACCCCCTTCTCAGGGGAAGCAGATTGGTCAGGGCTCTCCATCTTCTCTAAGCCAACAAGTGGCCCCCCAGTTGCATCCAAGGTTTGTGTCAGCCCCCAATCAGTACAGTGGGGACAGGGGCAGGGGTAATATCACCACTTTGGGAAACACTGGTATTTCAGTTTTGAGTGTGGGTGGTGGGTGGTGAGTGGGGTAGCCAGAGGGTGGGCACCCAGTGATGCTTGGAGCTACTTCTGGCTCTGCTCTTGGGGGTCACTCTGATGGTGCTTGGAGGACTATGAGTTGCCGAGATCAAACCCAGCCAGGCCTCCTGCACACAAAGGGTGTCATCCCACCCTTTAAGCTGCAGCTCTGGGCCTAGATGTGGATGTTCACATCACTGAGAGGGGCCCAGGAAGGCCTTGCTCCAAGGGCTAGAGCACAGATTGCGTGCAGGAGGCCCAGTGCTACATGGTTCCCTGAGTGGCCTTTGAGCACTGGGCTAGGAGTAGCCCCGAAGCATTGCTAGGTGTGGCCCAAACCTCCCTCCACCTCACCTCCCCACACACCACACATAGAAACAGAGGCAAGGACATGTGCCTTAGGAGAAATGACACGGAGGGATAAACAGGGCCTCAGCCACGCAGACACCAGGCTGCCTGCGTTCCGGGAGCACTTGGCTGAGCAGGAGCGCTCCTGACTCCCCATAAACCCATCTGGAGATAAGGCCCTAATGAAGGCCCGGCTTCCACTGCCCACGGAGCTCATTACCCTCCTACGCCTGGCTCTGCTTACTCACCCCTGCCCGGCATGAGCCCCCCACCCAAGGGGCCTCCTCACAGCGCTGGTGCCCCAGGGTCTGCGGGCCTGCCCCTCCCCCACCCCGGCGTTTGCCCTCCCCCCCTTCTAGCTTGGCTCAGTAAGCTGAAACACAGGCCCCTACTTTGCTCCCTGGCACTGCCGGACTCCCCAAACACTACAGGGTGCCTGTAGCTTTGGTGTCCCCCCACAACACTGTTGGGTGTGGGCATGGTGGCCCCCAATTTTGCTGGGCCCACTTAGCCCCACATCAACCCCCCAGAGAGCACTGCCCGGAAGCCCTCGCCACCAAAAGACAATGTCCCATTCATCTTCGGTGTCAGGACCCAAGAGTGCCACCCAAGGGTGCAAATATTCAGCAAAGGGAGCCCCTCAATACCACCCCACCACACCATGTATGCCCTGCTGTGTGGACACGGATAAGGCCCTGAGTGGGAGTTGTGACCTTATATCTGCTGGCCAGCCAGCCTCACTGGCCTTTGTCTCTTTGTCAACAGGTGACCTTGGCTGGTCCTGTGTCTGGTGACCACCCAGCTGCTCAGGGCCATCCTGGCCTCCACCAAGTCAAGGGGCCCTGGAGCCGAGACAGTAGGGAACACAGCTCTGTGGAATGGCCATCCTTGGGGGGACCTTGGTCCACTGCCCCAGTGCACCAGGGGCCCCTGTTAGGAAGATTCTAGAAACCTACTGAAGAGTGGCTCAGACCTGCATGTGGGTGGAGCCTGGAGGAGGGCATCTGGACACTTCCTGGCGGTTCTTGGGGTTTGGGGTCCGGGCCACTGCCCTAGACCCTTGCAAGTCGCGCTCAGGACTTGGTGGGGGAGAGCAAGGGCTGCTCTGGAGGTGGAGGGGGCAGCCTTGGGGAGAGCAGATGGGCCTGGGTTCTGGGTTTGGGTGCTGCGCTATTCAGCAATTCCCCTGGTCGTGGACGGTGCCCGGCATGCAGTCCCCATCATGGTCTGCTGGGGCTGTGTGGCCAGTGTCTGAGTGAGCGTGGGTCAGCTGTCCATTTGTTCTCCCAGTGTGGTCTGCCTCGCGTGTTCCATAACCTGTGCATGCGCGTCTGTAACTCTCGGGCCGGCCATCAGCCTTGTGTGTGTGTTCCCGTCTCCATCTCGGCGTCTTGAGTCATGCACCCACCCTGGTGCAAGCCTGCGTGCGTGCGTGCGAGTGCATGTGATGTTCATGGTGTCTTCCAGCGCGGATCCCTAACTCTGGAAGGTGAGAGAAAGTTCCAGGAGGCAGGAGGGGACAGGCTGGGGTGCAGGATGCAGCGGGCGAGGTGGGAGGCTGGGGGAAGGAGGGGGCGCGGCCTGGGCGAGTCCGGACAGCCGCAGACAGGTGAGGCTGACCCGACAGGTTCCGAGGCCAGGGGCGATGGGGCGGGGCCAGGCTCGGGATTAGGGTGGCAACGGACTGGGGGCCTTGCCACACGCGGGGCAGGCGGGCAGGAGGCGGCTCTGTTAGCTCCTCTTCCTGAGGCGGCAGCCCAGGGGGGGGCCTGCCATGGATTCCCTGGGAGGGTGAGGGCAGCCAGCAGCGAGGCATGTTCGCAGGCCTGGGGGCGGGGGGCATGGCGGGCCCCCTGAGGGGCCGGGTGGAGGAGCTGAAGCGGCCCTGGTGGCGGGAGAGCTCGCCCCTGGTGCTGCAGCACAGCGAGGCGGCCCGGCTGGCAGCCGATGCCCTCCTGGAGCGGGGCGAGGCTGCCTACCTGCGGGTCATCTCTGAGGAGCGCGAGCTGCCCTTCCTCAGTGCCCTGGACGTGGAGTACATGAGCAGCCATGGACGGGGCGGCCCGGAGGTCAGCGACGGCCAGGGGCCAGAGGCCTCGGGCCCTGACCGGCTCAGCCTGCTCTCCGAAGTCACCTCAGGCACTTACTTCCCCATGGCCTCCGACGTAGACCCCCCGGACCTGGACCTGGGCTGGCCCGAGGTCCCGCAGGCCACAGGCTTCAGCCCCACCCAAGCTGTGGTCCACTTCCAGCGGGATAAAGCCAAGAACATCAAGGACCTCCTGCGCTTCCTCTTCAGCCAGGCCCGCACGGTAAGGGCCTTGCCCACACCCCTCCTCCCACGGGTAGGGAGGAGGCTGGGGAGGGAAGGGTGCCCACCTGAGGCCACAGAGCCGCTTGCGGGAAGTCTTGGGAGTAGACTCTCCGGTTTCTAGCAGGACACAAACTTTGAGTGGGTGGACATGTGCTTTGGTCATTCCTTGGCTTTCCAGAAACTTCTAGAAAAAAACCTAGACATGGGATGGGTCTCGGGGACTACGCACAGACTCTGTTTGTTCTGGTTTGTTTTTGGCTTCTGGGCCACACGTGGCTGTGCTCAGGGCTTACTCCTGGCTCTATGCTCAGGGATCACTCCTGGTGGGCTCAGGGGACCATGTGGGATGCTGGGGATGGAACCCTGGGTTGGCCGGGTGCCAGGCAAATGCCGGCCCCACTACACACACACACACTCTGAGAAAGGATGCTGTGTATATTGCAGAGGGGGAAGCTGCTTCCTTCTCTGACCCCGGTCCATGGCCTACCTTCAGCGCGTCTTTCAGATGTCTGCTTGCCTTGCGTGCAGTTGATCCCAGTCTGGTCCCCAGCACCGCTTATGGCCGTCCCCAAACCCTACCAGGAGTATCCCCGGAGTACCACTGAGTGTGACCCAACCTCCTCCATCCCCAAATAAGAGTTATGGCCCCCATACTTGAACATCTGGGCCATCCCCACAATAGAGAAAACAGTGGGGCTGGGACATGCTCAGGGAGACCAGTCTGTGGGTGAAGCACGCAGGGCTCCAGGCTCCAGAAAGGGGTCCCTGCTCCTGGCCTGGGGTGTGGGCCTGGGCTTCTAGCTGTGAACCCCCAGCACAAGAGCGGAGGCTGTGAGGCTCAGGAGTGGGGTCAGGGACTCGCGAGAAAGCAAAGCTGGGGGCCTGGCGGGGTGGTGGGTGCCCGTACAGCCTCCTCTGAGGAGCGCTGACCTCGGCGTCAGGGACTGCAGAGTGAGTCAGAGGATCCCAGGGGGGATGGCAGGCCCAGGGGGTGTCCTTCCTGCTCCAGGGGAGCAGAGATCAGGAGCCAGATGCTGGCAGAGTCTCCCTGGCTGGCCCGCCTGTGCCCCGGGCAGGGGAGGGCCAGGCCTGACCGGCACAGGAACGGGGTCATTAGTGAGGTGGTACCCGCGGCTGGTGTCGTCACCGCGGCCCCTTTGATCCCTCCCTGACAGACCTTGCTCCCCTCAGCCCTGAAAGCCTTGCACTCGGGAAGACCCCAGCACCCCACCGTCTTGGCTCCCCATCGGGACCACTTCCCCGCAAGCTGTGAGCTGGGATGCCCATGCTGGCTGGCCGGGGAGGCATCAGGAAAGGCGTGTTTATGGAGAAGCTGCTGCGTGTAGGGAGGCCCCATAATTCGGAGATGGAGCTATCATTAGCCCGTGTCACGCCTGAGGAAGCCACTCGCCCCGCCAGATAGTGAGGAAGCTGCAGGGGGTGGGGTCCCCCCATCCTGGCTCCAGAGCTGTGTGTGGGGCCATGGAGTGCAACAGAACACAGACCTTGCATGGAGGAGACCTGGGTTCAGTCCTGGCATCACATGTGTGTACACGTACACGCACATGTGCATGCATGGACACACACACACACACACACACACATAGCTCGACAGACTGAGCACACACTTTGCTCACAGGATGCTTAGGGGGTTCAGTCCCTGGCATTCCATGGTCCCCTGAGCAACACTGAGAGAAACTCCTGAGCACAGACAACAAAACGACATAGTAGGGGTTGGAGCGATAGCACAGCAGGTAGGGCGTTTGCCTTGAACACAGCTGACCCGGGTTCGATTTCCAGCATCCCATATGGTCCCCTGAGCACTGCCAGAAGTAATTCCTGAGTACAGAGCCAGGAGTAACCCCTGTGCATTGCTGATGTGACCCAAAAAGCAAAAAGACAAACAAACAAACAAAAACAGCACAGTAGAGCGGGTATGGCATTGGCCTTGCATGCAGTCAACTGGGGTTTGAGCGCTGACACCCCATATGGTCCCGTAATCCCTGCCAGGAGTAACCCCTGAGCACAGAGTCAGGAGTCATCCCAGAACACTGCTGAGCGTGTTCCCCCTGCCTCAAACAAACAGGCCGAACAGACCTGAGGGCTTCGTTCTGCCCTGCAGCCTAGACTGGCAGAGTTGCCCGCAGGCGGGGGCCACTGTAGGGCTTCACAGCATAGGGGTTCAATGTCTCTCTGAGGCAGTCCATCGTGTGACAGGGAGACACAAGCCCTCAGGTTAGCAGAAAACTGGTCATGGTGGAGGGGACCATCTCAGACTACTGCAGCTTCTCCGGGCTACGAAAGGCACTGTGGCCTCTGCAGCCCCAGGAACTGGCTGGGGAGGGAGAGTGTGAGTCCTCAGGCAGCAGCTTGAAGTCTGGGCTCTGCCTCCTCCCACTGGCCTTAGTTTCCCCACATGCCAAAGTCCCAGGCCTTCACAGGGACAGTCTTGAGAATCTGATGATAAATGCTGCCCTCCTGGGGGCCGGAGATTAGCGCAGCAGGTAGGGCACTGGCCTTGGACGAGGCTGACCCAGGTTTAGCCCCTGAGCACCCAGATGGTCCTTTGAGCCCTACTGGAGTGATCTCTGAGCACAGAGCTAGGAGTAAGTCCTGAGCACAGCCAGATGTAGCCCATCAACAAAAACAAGACAAGGAAACACTCTGTCCTCAGGAAAAGGCGCATGATTTCCAGGGGTTCAAGGCCGCGAAGCCTCTAGAGCTCAGGGCAAGGTTACCACTAGCGGCCCTTCTGGCTCAGATATTCTCACAGGCTCTGAAATGCAGGGCAGTGCCTCCCCCGGCTTTCTTTATAACCTCTCACAAGCTGGCCAATGCTCGGGGTCACCGGGCAGGGCTGGGGATCCACCTCATGGCCTTGAGCACACGATGCCTTTACTGCTTCTGTTCTCCAGGGCCCAGGTCACTGCCCTTTCCTGCCATGTCAGCCCCTGTCCCCGGGCCCTGGGTAGGACTGACCACCCCAACCCCATGCCCCCAGGTGGTGGCCGTGGTGATGGATGTGTTCACCGACATGGACCTGCTGTGTGACCTCATGGAGGCCTCGGGGCGGCGCGGGGTCCCTGTCTACCTGCTTCTGTCACAGGAGCACCTGAGACACTTCCTGGAGATGTGCTACAAGATGGACCTCAATGGGGGCCACCTGCCGGTCAGCACGGGCCAGGGGGCAGGGAGCGCGGAGGAGTCTGCGGGTGGCCGGAGGGCATGAGGCTCCGTGAGACGAGGGCACCCCTCTCCTTTGGCCGATCTGGGGTATACACGGGGCCAGAGCCCCCCTCTCCTCTGCCTTCCCTCACCTGGGCTTCCGTCTGGTCTAGAACATGAGAGTGCGGAGCACGTGTGGGGACACCTACTGCAGCAAGGCCGGCCGCCGCTTCACAGGGCAGGCCCTGGAGAAGTTCGTCCTCATCGACTGTGAGCAGGTGGTGGCTGGTAGCTACAGGTGAGGCCCCGGGGCAGGTCAGGAGGGTCTGATTGGCGGCTATGAACTCGCCTCTTTCATCCTTCCCCTCAGCGCCAGGAAGGACAGGGCGCTGGGTTTAGGGACAAGATCAAGAGCATCCTAGGCTGGGCCTGGAGTGATAGTCCAGCGGAAAAGGGCATTTGCCTTGCTCGTGGCCCACCCAGGTTTTGATGCCTGGCATCCCATATGGGTCCCCTGTGCACTGCCAGGATTAGTTCCTGAGTACAGAGCCAGGAGGAAGCCCTGAGCATCGTCCGATGTGACCCAAAGTTCAAAAAATAAAAGAAACCAAAAGAAAAAAAGAAAAGAACACTCTACACTGGGTGCTGAAGAGATAGTACAGGGGATAGGGTGCTTGCCTTGCATGTGGCTGATCCAGGTTTGATCCCTGGCATCCTATATGGTCCCCTGAGCCCACCTGGAGCGATTACTGAGTGCAGGGCGAGGAGTAACCCCTGAGCATCCCTAAGCATCGCTCACGTGGCCTAAAAACCGAGAGGGAGCGGGGAGGGAGAGAGAGAGGACAGGCTGGGATGAGAGGCACTCGCTCTGTGGAAGGACTGATGTCCTTAACACAGGAAGGAACAGTTGCACCTCAGAACTGGTGGGACTGGGGGGAACCTTGGCCCTGCCCATTCTGCAGATGGGCACATAGGCGCTGAGAGAGAAATCCTCGGGCTCAACTCCCGGAGCAGAGCTGGGCCTGACCAACGGGATTCCAGCCCTGCCCGCTCCCTAGCGCCCCCGTGTGGCCGAGCGGAGCCAGCGTTGTGGTCGGCTCCAGGCGCTGACCCCGCCCAACCCTCTGTCCAGCTTCACGTGGCTCTGCAGCCAGGCGCACACCAGCATGATGCTGCAGCTGCGGGGCCGCATCGTGGAGGACTTCGACCGCGAGTTCCGCTGTCTGTACGCCGAGTCACGTCCCGTGGAGGGCTTCTGCGGCGGGGAGGACCCGCTGACCCCCCCTGCGCCCTGCCCGCCCCCGGTGGCGCTGCCCTTCGGACCGGGCATCCCCAGCCCTACATCCTCGCCGCCCTCCAGCACCAGCCTCAGCAGCGTCAAGCGCGCCCCGTTCATGGGCCGCTCCTCTTACCTGGCTCTCCCGGGAGGCGGCGGCTGCAGTGACGGGGGCCCGGGGTCCTCAGCCCGGGGTCCTGCCCGCAGAGAGGCCAACGGCCAACCCTCCTTGCAGCGACAGCTGTCAGACCCCCCGGGGCCCTACCGAGCCAACCTGGGTAAGCTGGGGGCATCCCCCTGGTCTCAATCCTCCCCGGCCCTCAACCAGAGCAGTGCCAGCCCCCTGACCCTGGCCCTGGGGACACCTCTGCTCCCTCGCCCTCGCCCCCTCCTCCCCTTCTCCCGGGGCATGCCGGTCCTGTCCCGGCTCCCGGAAAACGGGCTCCCGGGAAACCAGGGCCCCAGCCCGCCCCGGAGTCGCTGGGTACCTGGCCCAGCCCTGGAGACCGTGGACGAGAAGGTGTGTCTGAGCCAGAGCCACGGCCAGCTCGATCTCCTCGTGCCCTTTCCCAGAGCCCAGGAGGCAGGAGGCCCTGATTCTGGGGCTTCCCCTAACCTGGGCTCCTTCCGGCCTGGTGAGCAGGCCTCAGAGGAGAAGAGGGGGTGCCCCGGGCAGAGGTACAGCCAGCTGGACCTACTGCCCCTGGCCCAGGGGGCTGGAGACAGCCCTGAGTCAGGTTCCTCCCGAGCTGGAGACCAGACCCCCGAGGACAAGAGGTTGTCCCCAAAGCTCAGCCACGGCCACCTGGATCTTCTGGCACCATACCCCAAGGTTGCGGGCTCCAGAGTGCCCCCCGAAGCCAACAACTCCTCTGCCAGGGCCAGCAAGCAGGGCCCAGATGAGCGCCGGCAGACCCTGGGCCACAGCCAGCTGGACCTGATCACCAAGTTTGGCCCTTTCCGGGGCGAGGGCCCGGGGCCCAACGCTCTCCCCAGGCAAAGCCCTGCGCGCCAGGCCAGAGCGGGCTCCGCGGACGAGAAGCGGATGACTCTGGGTCACAGCAAGCTGGACCTCATCACTAAGTATCACCAGCTGCAGGGGGCCAGGGTGGGGCCTGAGCCTGGCCTCCCCACGGCGGCCCCGGGGGGCCATCGCAATGGCAATAGTAATGGCCTATTTGGGGACGAGAAGCGGCTGACGCTGGGCCACAGCAAGCTGGACCTCATCACTAAGTACAACAAATCCAAGTTTAAGCTGCTCCGGAGCCGCTTTGAGTCCTAAGCATGGCCCAGGGAGTCAGGTTTCCCTCTGTCCACAGCGATGCTACCCTCGTTCTCGTGGGCAGCGGCTATTCCGCGACCCACGTCGGACTCTGCCTCAGCTCTGGCTTCTGGTACACGTGTGTGAGCACACGAGACTCCCGTCCTGGGCTCTTGGATGTCACCGATTCCGTCTGTTCTTTTATCCTCACAACATTCTGGGGGCGAGGTCTTCTGTCTCCTCCTTGTAGGGGTGGTGCTGGACATTGAACCCAGGGCCTCATCCACGCCAGGCAAGGGCTCTACTGCTGTGTAACAGCCCATGCCCTCAGTTTTCTCTTTCATAAAGCCAAGTCCTGGGGCCAGAGAGACAGTACAGCAGGCAGGACGGTTGCCTTGCATGTGGTTTACATGTGTTCGATTCCCGGCATCCCGTATGGTTCCCGGAACCCCACCAGGAATGATCCCTGAGCTCAGAGCCAGGAGTAAGCCTGGTGCATCGCTGGGTGTGGCCCTCAAACAGCAACCGCAACAAAATGCCAAGGCCCAGGAAACTCAGAGGACTGGTGTGGAGAATGTCCAAGTATGGGCAGAGTAGGGGTTCACTGTGTTTCTGTCTCACAAGGGGGTTTTCTGCAATGACATAAGGCACAGTATCCAATGTCACATGTCTCTGTTCACGTATCCCTGTGCACACATTGCAGATATGCACCAGATACCTGTACAGTATCCCCTGCACCCACAAAATGCCTCTCCCCCCAAAAAATATTGCACAGATAAACCCAAACAGAATCCCAGGGATGGTGCTCACTGGCATTTGACTCCACCACACACCAGCAGCCCTCGGGATCCGGGGACACACAGACCCCAATGCATACACGCCCTGATCTGAGTCTCAACCACGATGGCATCAGACTGAGGGTGAGTCAGAGTTAGGACCTGGAGATCTGGGGTCAGTGCGGCAGGTACTGGAGGGTGGGCAAGGCAGGACATGGGTGGGAAGAAACGTAGGGTTAGGAGCGGAGAGGAAAGTTTCTTAGAGCCTTGTTCTTAGGATCGAGAACAAGGACAGGGATGATTTGGAGAGAGGGACTCCAGGAAGAGAAGAGCAGGAAGCTGAGGGAGGTTGAGGGTCCCAGTGAAAGGAGTAGAGGCAGTGGACACACACACACACACACACACACACACACACACACACACTGTGTGTGTCCCTAGAATCACAGGCTCTGACATGTTGGGGCCCTTTCTGAGCTCATGTGGCGCAGATACCTGTACAAATCAATAAAGGCGGTGGTGCTATGACCCAGTAGTAGCCTGGTTTCTCCTGAAGGAGGTAGGGCCAGGAAGGGTGCTTTGGGGGCAGGGGAATAGTTGGATGTGGAACTAAGGGTGGGGGAGGAAAAGGGCTCTAGGCTCCCTCTGCCCTCATTCTGAGACCCTTCTGGGTCTTGGCAGATCTGTCAGAACACGGGGCACAGTTCACCCCATTCAAAGACCAGGTCCCTGGACCGCCACTGTCTGTTCTGGGAACACGAGGTGGTTCCTATTCAGTGAGCAGGCACCAACCTGCAAAGGCACTAAATGGGCACCGGACAGTGCCCACTCCCTCGCCCACTCTGGGTGTCCCAAATGGGACAGAAATCAACTAAAATCAGTTCTCTGTCCAGACCCTGCTTCGTGCCTCCTCGTCGCTCTCCAGCACCTGCTGGGACCTCATCCTCCCCAGCCCAGATTCTTTCCCTTGATTCTCACACTCTCCTCGGGACTCCGGGGTGGGGAGGAGGAAGGAAGGGGGGCTCTAGCTCGGGCGTGGGTCAGCCCCGCACACACCTCCCCAGGCTTTCCTTTCCTTTGGTAAATGTCTCCCTCAGCCACCCCTTCTGGGGCGAGACCTCCCTGGCTCCTCCTTAGCTCCCGCCTCACATCCAGCCGGCCCTAGATCCAGAAGGACAGGCGCGAGAGGGGAGGACGGAAGGTGTTACCGGGGCGGGGCCTCCGGAGCATAGAGTCGGCCCCCAGTCCGGAGCTAGAGCGGCAGGGCGCGTGCGAGCGTGGCCCGCCCTCCCGGAAATCCCCTCGGGCGGAGGCGGAAACGGAAACGGAGCCCGACTCGGGTCGGAGACGCGGCCGGTGCCGCGTGTGGAGGCTGCACTTTCCTGGCTAGACTGTGTGACGAGAGACTAGAAAGGTGAGTAAGCGGGGGCCCCGGGTGTGTGTGTGTGTGGGGGCCGGGGGTCCGCGGGCTGGGGGCGCTAGGGCGCGCCGGCGGGGGCGGGGTCCGGAGGGGCGGGGCCGTGGGGGGCCGGGCGCGGTTCCGGCCCCCCGACCCTCCGCCGCGCAGCCTTCCAGGTGCCATGGCGGTGCGGGCGTCGTTCGAGAACAACTGTGAGATCGGCTGCTTCGCCAAGCTCACCAACACCTACTGCCTGGTGGCCATCGGAGGCTCCGAGAACTTCTACAGGTGCGGCGGGGGTCGCGGGGCGCCGCGGGCAGTTGGGGCGGGGGGGGGCGGTGCCGGGGTGTGTGTGGGGGGGCAGCCGCGCCGTGACCCCCGACCCCTGACCCCGCAGCGTGTTCGAGGGCGAGCTCTCCGACACCATCCCCGTGGTGCACGCGTCCATCGCCGGCTGCCGGATCATCGGGCGCATGTGTGTGGGTAAGTGCGGCCCCGGAGGGGGGAGAGTGGGAGGTGGGGGTCTCGCGGAGTGGACCCCCCTCCCCCGGGATTTCCCGGCCTTGAACCCTGAGGCCCCGGGGCCGGCCGGACCTCACCTCTCGGCAGGGTCGGCGGGTGAAGTGGTGGCGGTGATCTCCGCCCGAGTCTGGGGGGTGGTGGGGGTCCGCAGTGTGTAGGTCCGGTTCGGTGCATCCCGACCCACCGGGACCCCCTCGCCCCGTCAGGGAGACACCCAGGGAGGGGAGCCAGGTCCTCATGGCCTCGGTGACTCACCGGGCTCTGCACCCAGAGTCCGAAGTACAAGGGTTGGGTCGCTGTTCCCCGAGCATCCGTTTCCGCACGCCCCCAAAGGCGGCAGGGTTCGGGGTTTCCTGGCCGGCCGGGGCCGCACACTCGTGTGAGCGCTCGGGTCCCGACTCCTGTCGGAGTGCTCTCCCACCTCGCTGGGCGTCGCGCCGGACCCCTCCCGCACTCACTTGCCTGCTCGCCTTGCTGGATTTGTTTGGGGTCACATCAGAGCTCGTTTCATTGATTCTGGCTTACATGCTTTATTTAGAAAAAAAAATCTTGATGACGTTCAAAACTGAGAGAGACAGTAAGAGACAGTGAGAGACAGTAAGATAGTGAGAGACAGTAAGAGAGACAGACACTGAGAGACAGTAAGAGACAGTGAGACAGACAATGAGAGTGAGAGACAGATAGTGAGGGACAGAGTGAAAGTGAAACAGATAGTAGAAGAGAGATGACAGACAGAGACTTGGTCCTGGGCAAGGGGGTGATTCCCAACTTGAGCCATTTCCTCCGCCCTAGGAAGATCTTTATTAAGACTTTTCTTGAATCCTTTCACTAGAGTGTTCTGCCCTGGAGTTGCCAGCATCCCACCTAGGGCTGTACAATTCTTTTACTTTATGGGGCTCCCTCCTCTCTCCCCTTCCTCATATTTTCTAAACCAAAGTTAGTTTAAAAAAAATTTTTTTTAAGCACCCTACTTTGCTCCTTGAATTACAGAATGGGAACTCACAACATTCACTAATAACACTTGTTGAACACTTTCTTATTTGGGTAAACACTCTGACAGCCCATAACCTTAGGACTTAAAGCAAAATTCTGGCATAAATAACGAGGGAGAGCATCTTGCCCCACTCTTTCCTTTTTTTGGGGGGGGGGTTTGGGCCACACTGATGGTGCTCAGAACTTAATTATAATCCGTACTCGGGTCACTTCTGCTGGACTCGGGAGGGGGGGCGGGGATGCTCTGGGGTGCTAGGGATTGAACTGAGTCTGCTTATGTGCAAGGCAAGTGCTTTACCTGCTGTTTTATTGCCCTGGCTTTTCATCTGCCTCCACCCCCCACATTTATAAAAATAAACCAAAAAAACTGATGAAAGTTACTTTGAATTTGGGAGTCCAGAGTTAGGCCTTGCTGAGATAGCCAGGTTAGCTATTATCAAGATATAGTTGGGGGCTGGAGAAATAGTATAGCATGTGGGGCTCTTGTCTTGTATGTGCCCGACCCAGGTTCGATCCTTAGAACTGCATATGGTCCCCTGAGTACTGCCAGGTGTGGCCCCTAAAACAAAACTAATCCATTAATTTTTCGTTTTGGGTCACACCCAAATCAGGACTAAGCTTTGCTCAAGGTTTATCTTGACTCTATGCTTAGCAGTTTTTCAGAATAGTTTTGGTTTTGGTTTGTTTGTTTGTTCGCTTTTTGGGTCACACCTGGCTATGCACAGGAGTTACTCCTGGCTCATGCACTCAGGAATTACTCCTGGCGGTGCTCAGGGGACCATAGGGGATGCTGGGAATTGAACCCGGGTCGACCGCGTGCAAAGCAAACGCCCTACCCGCTGTGCTATCTCTCCAGCCGTGTAATCCTATCAGCGGCCAAGACTCAGAGACTATAAAAACCAGCTCCTGGAACCGCGCGGCCGCATTTGCGGCCGTGCGACATCTTATTATGACATCTCATTCCTACTTTGACAAACTGGCAGGCTACCGAATGTAGCTTGCCCACACGGTAGAGTCTGGCAAACTCCCCGTGGCGTACCCAATATGCCAAACACCAGTAACAATGATGGGTCTCATTCTCCTAAAGAGCCTTGAATATAATCTCAGGGCTAGGATGAAGGAGATGTTATTGGGGCCTGCTCGAGGCAATCGACGAATAACAGGATGATTTGTGATTTGTAATGCTTAGCAATAATTCTCTCCGGGAGACTATATGGGGCTCCAGGGATCAGATCCGGGTAGGCCATGTACAGTGCAAGTGCCCTGCCCACTATCTCTAAGGCCCACTGTCAATATTTATTACCGTATACTGTGTTGTATAAATATACCACAGGGTGTTGCTCATCTGGTCAGATAGTAGACAGTTTTCAGTTTTTTTCTATTACAGACAGTGCTGTATTTTTCAGTGAACACATATTTTTTTGATAGGGTATGTGAATATTTTAACGTAGCAAACCATAGCAGATAATTATCTGATGTACTTAACCAGTTTACTGTTAAGAATATATGAGAGGGGCACTGGAGAGTTAGTACAGCAGGTAGAGTGCTTGCTTTACATGCAGCTAACTGGGGTTCGATGCCTAATACCACTTACGGGCCTTTGAGCACCACCAGGAGTGAATCTTGAGCCTAGAGCCAGGAGCAAGTCCTGATCGTCATTGGGTGTGATCCCCTCTGCCACTTCTAGGAATGCATGAGTCAGAGCTAGTTATACAGGCTGAGCACATGCTTTGCGTGCAAGAAACCAGGGTTTTATCCCTGTCACTACATGTCCCCTGAACACTGCTAGGTGTGGCTCAGGAAAATACATGAGAATTTCTGTTGCTTCATCTGTCTTTCCCAACACTTGGCGTGGATGATCTTTTCATAGTTTTTGCCATGCTGGTGTGTTTGGGGGTAGCACACGTCTCTGTGGAAGGGCATGTTTCACACCACATGGTGCTTGGGGTCCATGTAGTGTTGGAATTGAACCCAGGGCTCCCGCATGCAAAGCACATCTTGCAACCTCGCTCCCTCATTCTGATAGCTTAAATTTCTAAGTATAATTTGTGACTAATGCCAGAGTGCTTCTGCTAGCTCCACTCTGTTGATGATGGCAAGGTGAGTGGGATGTTGGGACTTCCTGTGGGTGTTGCAGATTGCTGAGTCGGAGTATTGGGATCTGGGCTTTTCCCGGGACTGGGAATGCCTAGCCCCTAGCCTCTGGGGCTCACCAGGCATCTTGTATATTCATGGTGCATCTTTGTCCTCCCTAATTTGTGTGTGTCCAGGGAACAGACATGGTCTGCTTGTACCCAACAACACAACTGACCAGGAGCTGCAACACATTCGAAACTCCCTCCCAGACTCCGTGCAGATCCGGCGGGTAGAGGAGCGTCTTTCAGCTCTGGGCAATGTCACCACTTGCAACGACTACGTGGCACTAGTCCATCCAGATCTGGACAGGGTGAGCTAGCCCAGTTTGACCCAAGAGTCACAGGCACAGCCTCGTCTGTGGTTAATCATTGTTCTTGCCTCTCAAATGACTCTTCTTTCTTTATACACCTTAGTTCTCACGTTTCAGGGATGCATTGGAATAGTGACAAGAAAGACCTTCCATGGTGTGGTCAATGTTTGAAGCTATTAATTCATCCAAACTGGGGAGATTAATCCATTTTGTCCTGTAGCCTGGGGCAGGAGAGAGGTGCAACAAGATTAACAGTAGAACCCCCCCTTTGATTTTTTTTTTTTTTTTTTTTGCTTTTGAGTCACACCTGGCAGTGCTCAGGCTTAGGTGCCCAGTTACTCCCAGTTACTCCTAGCTCTGTACTCAGTAATTGTTCCTAGTGGTGCATGGAGGGGCGGGGCGGGGGGGGCACACTTGACCATATGGGATGCTGGGATCGAACCTGGGTTAGATAGACATGTGCAAGTCAAATGCCCTACCTGCTGTACTATTGCTCTGGCCCCAACAGTTGAACTCTTAAATGTGGGTTAGAGGGAAGAGCTTCATATGAGGAGCTGTCAGATAATGCTTGGTGTCAAGGTCGTCATAGCTGACCTTTCTTTACTCTGCTCCAGGCTATCCGGCTTTCATATGCAACTGCATGACAGCAATGAGGGGTTTAGGGAGCCTCACTTTGGGTGGTTCTGGGAGTGGAGACCTCTTTTTTGGTCTGCAAGTTCTCAACCCTGTGGCTAACAGGAAACAGAAGAAATCCTGGCTGATGTGCTCAAGGTGGAAGTCTTCAGACAGACAGTGGCTGACCAGGTGCTAGTAGGAAGCTATTCCGTTTTCAGCAACCAGGGCGGCCTGGTCCATCCCAAGACTTCAATTGAGGACCAGGATGAACTGTCTTCTCTTCTTCAGGTCCCCCTGGTGGTAAGTATTCCTGCTCAGCTGAATGTCTCCTGCTGACCACCATGCCTGGAATTCAGGAATCAGGATTTGGGGTTAGGCAGCAGAGTCTGGGTAGAATCTTTTTTTGGCAGGGGGAGAAGTAATGGCTGATCTGTGCTCAATTCATCCCTTGGCAGGCAGGCACCGTGAACCGAGGCAGCGAGGTGATTGCCGCTGGGATGGTGGTGAATGACTGGTGTGCCTTTTGTGGCTTGGACACAACCAGCACAGAGCTGTCAGTTGTGGAGAGTGTCTTCAAGCTGAATGAAGCCCAGCCCAGCACCATTGCTACCAGCATGCGGGATTCCCTTATTGACAGGTATCTTTCCTCTTTTCTGCCTTTGGAAGGTCTGGGAAGGACTTGTGTAGCATTACAATCGGAACGACACATTGTACGTGCTGGTAGGCTGTCCTCAGGAGCAGGCCTTTCCTGAGCCTCTGTTTGCTCGTTCCTTTCTTTGAAAACTCAGCTTAGTTTCCCCTCAGAAGAGCTCTCCCTCTATCTTTTGGGAAGTCAGTGGGGAAATTGGGCTTTGGAGACGCATAATGGTGCCCATGGGCTACTCCCAGCTCCATGCTCATTGATTGCTCCTGGCGGTGCTGGGGGACCATGTGGTGCCAGGATTGAGCCTGGATCTCCCACAGGCAGAGCAGGTGCTCAGCCTTTTGAGCTGTTTCTCCAGCTCCCTCTGATTTCGTATTTCTTCGCCTTTTACTGACCATGGCTGTGTTCTGACCTTCTTTCTTCTTTCGGCCCTTAGTCCTGGGCACCCCCTGCCAGTGCTCGGGGAAACATACAGGATGCTGGAGATGAAACCTGGGTCAGCCCCGAGCACTGGCAGGAGTAATTCCTGAGCACTTGTTGGTGTGACCCCCCCCCCCAACCAAAGATAAACAAAAAACAAAACCATCAGATTATTCTTGGAATTTACTGGAGGGTTGGTAGTGTTAAAGTTTCAGTTAAGGACTGGAGAATAGACTCAGTTGTATATTCACTAAAAATAAAATATGAGGGGCCTTTGGCGGCGGCTCTTTCTGTTGGCCACCTTCATTCGGTGGTCTCACGCTGCTTAAGCGACCCCGGGGAGGCCGATGACAATGGGCAGACAAAGGAAAGAATGAGGGCCAAGCTGATTGGTGTCAGTTGCAGTTTATTCCAGTCTCATCTCCATACCTTCTGATTCTCCCTCTGCTTCTCTCTCCACCACTTTCGATCTTACAGTCCTAGTTAAATCCCAAATCATGAGGGGTAGGGGAAATAATTATACATGGTTGTGGTCATGCAGTCAACAGAGGTAAAGTCTTTCCCTCAGGGGAAGCTTCTAGGACAGATTTTCATTCAGCTCAAGAGTGGAATCCCATGGGTGTGTTTCTCCTCTCCTTGTCCAACAAACATATACAAGAAAAAAAAACAAACACTGTCCTTCCGTTGTTCATCGATTTGCTCGAGCGGGCCCAGTAGCATCTCCATTTTGAGACTTGTTACTGTGTTTGGCATATTTAATACATCACGGGTAGCTTGCCAGGCTCTGCTGTGTGGGCGAGATACTCTTGGTAGCTTGGCCAGCTCTCAGAAAGGGGTGGAGGAATCGAACCCGGCTCAGCAGGGCTGGCTGCGCACAAGGCAAATGCCCTGCCGCTGTGCTATCGCTCCAGCCCAACAAACATATAAACATTCATAATAGTTATTTTGTATGGACACAGTAAGAGATACATTAAGCTTATAGAATTGCTCTCCTGGGGTCACCTCGATCTCAGACTACAGTGCTCAGGCCAAATTAGTCTTTGCTATCCCTAGCAGGGTCCTAATCTCGTAGTTACTTTTGGATCATGACAGCATTTGTCCATTACCATGCTCTCAACTTATATTTATACTTATAGTTGAGTATTGTGGCACTTTGGCCTGGCCCATTTTGATGCCAGGGTAGCTCCCAGGTCACCCTGGGTCCACTCAGTCCCTCGTTGGGACCCTGCTTTTGGGGTGCTAGGAACTAAGGGTAACAGGCTTAAGTCGAGAAAGGAGATGCCTGGGAGGGAATATTATTGAAGTCAGTTAACTCCCAAGTTACAAAGCATAATATTAACTGTCTTCCTTTGTCCATACAAAAAGGCCATTGCTTTAAAGTAAACTATTTAAAAGATATAAGGAGAGAAGAAAGACAATATTAACTTAAAATACAAGTTCAGTGTCCTTAGAAGGATCTGACCTTAACAAATTAACACAGTCTGATTAAGGTAAAAAGCTGATTTACTGGTTGGGGAGGAGAGCACAGAGAAAAAGGTTACAGATAAACAATGGAATGGGAGTGACTGGGGAGCACAGTGATGGGTGTAACCCAATAAACCTAAGCTCCCTGTGGCAAGGGAGAAAGGACAAGCCAATGTTATCCTCCACTCAGTGAGCTGAACACATGCATGGTATGCAGAAGGGCTGGATTTGATCCTGGGCATCATATGGTCCCCTAAGTACCACTGTGGATATAGCTTAAAAAAAAATTGATCCCACAAAGTCAGTTATCTGACTTTGTGAGTTTTTGTTTTGGGATCATATCACAACAGTGTTGAGAACAGCTCCTGGCAGTGTTCAAGCAACCATTCCGTTCAGGGTATTGAACCCAGGCCTCCAGTGTGCAGAGTATGTGTTCAACCACTGGACTATTTTCTCAGCCCTCTTTTTGGCTTTTTTTGTTTGGGGGCTATACCTCACTTTGCTCAGGCTCACTCCTGGCTCTGCACTCAGGGATTATACCTGGAAGTGCTCTAGAATCCATAGGGGGCCAGAGATCGAACCCTCACCTGACATTTGCAAATTATGTGCTCTACCTGCTATACTATTTCTCTGGCCCTTAAGAGTTTTTTTTAAAAGTGAGTTCTTAGGGGCCTTATAGTATAGTGGGTAGATTGTCTTGCACACAGCTAACTCAGGTTTTACCCTGGCACCCCATATTGTCCCCTGAAGCCACCAGGAGTGATTCCTGAACTCAGCCAGGAGTAAACCCTGAACACTGCGGGATGTGGGGACCATATGATGCCCAGGATCAAAACAAATAACATAAATAAGAACTGTGTTCTTAGACCCTACTCCAGAGATTCTGGGATGCAATCTACTTTTGAAAGAGTAAGAGGTACTGGTCTTGCGCATTGAGGGCCCTTTTCGAAGCATACTGATTTCATTCAGCTAGTGCAGGAGTTTTGAGAATAGAAACCCCCAAATAGAAGACATCCAAGAAATAGACCCCAACTAACCATGGGCATATTTTTTTTCATACTCCCATCTTCGTTTATTCATTAACATGATACTTACTGGTTTTGTTGTAAGTCTAAGGTTTTGTCATAAGTCTAAGTGGGTTAGACAGACAACTTAGTTCTATATCCTGCCTCTAAATTTTACATACATAGCAGGGGAGAGATGACCGCACATTTTTTTTTCTTTTAGTTGCTGGGTTTTTTTTTTTTTAAAGCTGCACTGAGTGTTGCTTGGCTTTGTCCTGGCTCTGTGCTCAGGGGATCACTCATGGCATGCTCGGGGGACAATATGGGCATTGAGAATTGAACCCAGGTCAGCTGTGTGCAGGACAAGTATCTTACCCCTGTATTGGATTCCTCCACATAATTCTTAGGCAGCTTGCAAAGGTGGCTTAAGTTGTGTGCAAATCTGTGGGTTCCCAATAGCTTTACCTTCTGAGTTCAACCAAGGTTTCATAAAAGTCATTTATTCGCATGCAGCTGATCATTCCCTGCCAGGAATAAGGCCTGAGCATTGCTGGATATAGCCCCAAAACAACAACAAAAAGTAGTGGCTTCTGGAAGTGAGTGTGTATTTGCATATGCAGACATGGAGTAGGAAAGCGCTACAGAATTGGAAAGTATGGAAGACGTTAAGAGGAAAAGATATATTTTCAGTTTTGAGGACTCTACCTATATATTCAATTTTAGGTCTGTGGGCTATTGTGTTTTGTTTTGGGACCACACTTGGTGCTCAGGGGCTACTTTTCTTGGGGTCTCTATTGCGGGGACCAAACCCAAGCCCCCACATGAAAAGCATCCAGTCAGCCCTTTGACCAAAAGCATGCACTGATCCCTGGCTCAGGAGTTAAAATCAAAAGCCTGAAAAGGACTGAATTGTTGACTCAGGACAGTGAAATCCTGGGAGGGGTGAGGAACAAAAGCCCAAGGGCGGAGGGAAGCTCCTTGGGAGTGGAGGGTGGGGAAGCACCTACTGACTGCCTTTCCTTTTTTTGTGCAGCCTCACCTGAGTCACCCTTGTTCCCGGTCTTGGTCTCCTGGCTTTGGACTTTGACTCGCTTTCCATGCCCCACCCAGTCTGTACTGGGTGCTGGCTGGAAGCAGCGGAGTCACCGGAACTGGGTTCACCTGATTCACCTGACCCCATCACCTGATTCTGTATACCTGCTGCAAAAATCTGCCACTGTGCTGACTGTCAGACCTGGTGGCTCTTGCTGAGGGCCCTGATTTCCTGTGCCACTTTCATTAAAGAGCAGCTGCTTTTGGCCATTCTGGATGTGTTGTTTAGAGGGTTCAGGCTGAGCCAGCACCCCCTGTTCCCCATTGTTCTAGGGACAGGTGGGTGAGAATGCACACTGACCCCCGAGTTCCAGTTTCACACCTGCCCCTCTGCCCTTGTTGGGGCTCCGTCCCAGGCCAGGGTGAAGGAGCTTACCAAGTCCTCCAAGCAGAGCCTCCGATTTAGGGGTTTTGGAGTAAGAACCTACTCCAGGTCTCCCTTGGGCTGGCGTAGGGGCCTTCTGGGACCAGCGATCGAACTGGGGCCCCTCCGTGCAAATTAACTGCTTAGCCTTTTGAGCGGTTCCTCCTGTCATAATCATGGTCCCACCCATCCTGGTCGCTGGCCTGGCTGCCTGGCGAAAGGCCGCCTTGACAGCCCTTAGCTCGGGCCCTGGCGAGGTGGGTCCGCTGGCTGTGGGGCGGGGCCCTGGCTGTCGCGGGGCGCGGGCTGGGATTGGGCTGCAGGCGTGGTCTGTTTGGCCCGCCCCGGGGCGGGGTCTGCGCCGTGACGCCACGCGTCTAGCGGAAGCGGAGCTAGGGTGGTGGGCGCTGTGGGTCCCGGACGTCTGCGGTCCCGGTGCTCCAGGTGAGCGGCTGGGGCGGCGGGGGCTCGGGGGGTGGGCACCGGGAGCCCCGCTGACCGCTCTCTAACCCCGCAGACCATGGGCGCGGGGCTGAGCGGCGGCCAGGCCGCCCCGGAGCCGGCACAACCCCCGCCCCAGCCTGCGGCTCCCGAGCGGCCGCGGCCCGATCCTGGGCCCTGGGGGCCGCTGGACGACGTGCGATTCCTCATCGCCTGCACCTCCTGGTACTGAGCCACCGCGCCCCCTCACTAGTCAGGACAGGTCGCTGACCCTGGTCGCCGCCTTGCCCCGCCTGCCCCCCCCCGGCCGCCGTCCTGCCGTCTTCTGTTCTGGTGGCTCTGGCCTCGGTTTGCTTCTCAGCCTGCTGCCCGCCAACCCGCGGCAGCCCTCCCGGTCAGCGGCTCCCAGAACCACACCAGCAGCCTGGAAGGCCGTGGCTGCCGACACGACCTCGCCTCGTCTCTCCCTGCTGAGAACTGGGATCCTGCCGGCGACCTTGGTCAGGGTGCCCCGGCTGCGGAGAGAAGTGACCTCACTGCCACTGTGACCACCACCTCACCCCGCCGCCGCTCTCCTCGGGGAGTTGGCGGCCTCTCGGAGCCCAGTGCGATGTTACCGAACTGTGACCCTGGCACACCAGGAACATTGGGTCTCAGGGGTCAGCCTTTTGGGGAGAGGGGATGGCTGATGAGATGGGGGGTAGGCCCACACACCCCGAAACCTCTTGTCCTCCCCTGCGTCCAGATCTAAGGCCAGTTTTAGGCCCTGATGCTTGTTCCCTTGTCCCAGGGAAAGGACACACTCTGTATTTTTTTTTTTGTTTGTTTTATTTAGAAATGATTTAAAAAACATACAAAGGCTGATCAGTTTAAAATGTGACCGACAGTGAAATGTTGTGATGATCCCCAGGCTGAGGGGATGTGAGGCTCTGGGGCCCCAGTGCTTGGCCCCCGTCTGCCCTGTTCCGGGGTGGTGGACAAATAGACAACCACAAGGCAGGAGAACGGAGACCGAAGCCCCCAGGCCGAGCCCTGCATCCCTCACCTCTGCAGCCAGGGCTGCTGCCTCATCTCCTGCTCTGTCAGCTGGCCTTGGTGGTCCCAGGAGCCAGGGGTGGCTGGGGGGTCTAGAGCTTTCAAGAAGTGAGAGCACCAACCTGAGGAAGTGGAGAGGGACCAGGAAGGGGGAAGAGAGACCAGGAAAAGATGGATAAAAGAGATACTTCTGATCTCATCCTGGATCCTAGAGGGGCCCTTGGGTGGGGACCCAGGCCCAGTGAACCCCTGGAGAGCTAAGGTCAGTAACAGCCGCTCTGTGCTTGGTTTGAGGGCACAGCGAGAGTTACCCCCAGCCTCCCTGGGCCTCTGTGAGTTGATGTGAGTGGACAGGTGTGAGCTAATAAAGTGCTTTGTAAAGTATAAAACACTGTACAAACCTACGAATCACTAAGATCTCCGCAGTTGTTCTCCTCCACCTGCCCCAGGGAGCCCGCCCTTGGCCAAAATGAGAAAGAAACAAGAATGATGACAAGGAACACGGAGGGCCCGCTGGGTCCCTCTGGGACGAGGGAGGGGCTGCTGGAGACAATTCCTAGGGCAGCTGGAGTCCCTGTCTACGATGGGTTAAGCCAACCCAAAGCCTGGAGGTGACAGGTCGGGGCAAGGCCCACGAAGGCTCAGAGGATCTGGGTGGCATCTAAGGCCCAGCATGGACCCTGAAGTTCGCCACCTCCCCTGGGCTTTGGCAGAGAGCCCGTGGGCATTGCTTAGCCCACACATCTGGCCTCGGGGTCCTCAGTGGCTGGCAGGACCCCTTATGCGATTAGTGTGAGGCAGACTGAGCCTTAGGAATTCTTTGCAGAGCGGGAGCTGGGGAAGTCAGGAAGGGCCTGCTTGGGGCTGCTGCCCGTTTAGGGGTGCCCTTTCCGGAAGAGCAATGCAGGAACATGGGTCCAGAGGGCCTCAGCACGGCTTCCAGGCCGAGCGCCGAGCCTGGGCTGTGCTCAGCCTTCAGGAGGCTGCCCTGGGTCTCCCTAGGCTGCACTCCCAGCCGCAGACACGGGCTCCAGAGGGGTCTGCAGAGTGGGAAGAGGGGCAGGGTTAATGGGGGCTAGTGGAGGATGCCCACAGACCCAGCTCGGCCTCTGGAAATGAGGTTCGCCTCTACTCCAGCCCTTTAGCTTCACTAAAGCAAGGCCCAGCTCCTGGGCAGTGGGCACTGGAGTAGCCTTGGCAGCACCTTGGTCCTTATCGCCTGGGGGAGGGCCTGCCTTGTCACTAAGACAGTCACGTCTAATTGACCTACAGCCTCAAGCAGCCTTTGCAGAATGGGACTTTTAAAACAGTAGTGACAGGACATTTAAATATTCATACGTGACAGCTGGGTCCTCGTTAGACCCAGTTGGGCCACAGCCCTGCCTGCAGCATGTGACCCGAAATTGGGGTCTCACGTGAGACCCAGTGTGGGGGATGGGTTTCCTGAGGGAGCTGCTGTCTGCCAGCAGGGGAAACCCAGCTTTGTGGCCCACCGTGTTGGCAACGGGGGTCCTGTCGCCTTGGGAGACGGTGGGGGTGGGGATGGGGTGGGGGACATCTGACCAGCAGGTGTTTGCAGAAAGGGACCAGGCCTGGTGGGCTCTCCCAGATGGGGCCGAGAGCGCGTGTGCTGGCTTCCCACGGAGACGAGGGGCCCAGCGTCACCACAGGGCGCTTCCCAGCATGCTCACCGCTTCCTGCGGACAGGCCTGACTGCTCCTGAGCGGGGACAGTTGGCCCGGGACAGAGGGCTGGCAGCTGGGTGCCAGCCACCCACCCTGGGGTGCAGCGCTGTCACTCCCGGCCCCAGGCCTGGGTCAGAGCCCCCGCCACTTCCGCTGCATCACCCCTGGCCGAGGGCCCTGCTGGCCCCGGTGGGCGGTGGCCAGCGCTGCCCTCAGACCCTGACGAGGAAGGGCCTGGCTGGCCGGACCGAGTGCACAGAGGCTCGGGCTGCTCACACCCACTCCTGGACCGGCCGCTTATAGTAGGTGACGGGCTGTGGGCCCGCCTTGTTCTTGAACTGGAAGATGGTGTAGACCAGCACCAGGATGCAGAGGGAGAGGATGCAGGGGATGACCACGGCCACCGCGTTCACAGAGCCCGGCACGTCGTTGATGGTCACCATGATGTCCACATCGTCCTGGGGCAGCCGCCGCTCTTTGCGCCGCTCCACCTCTTTCTGGTTGCAGCCCATCCAGTCCCGCAGGATGCTGCGCGGGTAGCCCGGCTCCACGCTCAGCTTCTGGTTGTCGAACTTCCAGTAGTCCCGGCCCTTGTAGAAGTAGGTGTAATCTGCAGAGACAGGCCGGGTCGCCCACGGGGCAGGGTCCGGGGCCAGATGGACAATGGGGTGGGGTGGAGGGGTACACGGATGTGAGGAGTAGGGAGCAGTGTGTGTGTGTGTGTGTGTGTGTGTGTGTGTGTGTGTGTGTGTGTGTAGAGGGTTGTGCATGCCAGTCGGGGGTGGGGGCTCCTGGGTCTTATGCAGGGTCTGTAAGTGGGCATTGCCCTGCCCCTCCAGCACCTCCCAAACTCGGGCTCTCTTTCTGTCACTGTACACACATACCCTGTCACCCGTGGGTCAGTTCGGGTCCCCTGCCGAGGGCCTGGTGGCTCAGGGACCACAGTGCCGCTCCTGCCTAAGCCAAACGGGGAGGTGTGGAGTTTGCTGACCCTGTCTTCCCCCTTGTTGCTGCTATCTGAGGTGATCCTTGTGACTTGGGACACATCAGCAGCCAGCAAAGATCAGGTGGCTGGGACCTGCTGGCCAGGGGTTGGGGAGTACCCCAAGATGTCCAGCAATAGTTGTTTCCTTTTTGGGGGAGGGGATGGTCACAACATTGCTCTGTTCTCTGCTGTGTCTTGGACGACCAGTGGTGGAGGGGCCAACCTGGCGTCCTATGTGGACACACCCAGCTCAGCCATGACCCTCTCTCTGGCTCTGGCATGTCTCTTGGGAAGTGTAAAGGTTCTCAGAAGAGTCGCCACGTGTTGCAGCGGGTGGCACCTCCTTGGAGAGCCTCTGATGCTCCCTTACCGCTCCCCAGCGGTTCTTTCCTGCCTCTGGACTAGGGCCTGCGGTGCAATGCAAGACTCAGTTCCTGCTCCCTCCCAGCTGCACAGACAGCGTGAGTGAGGGTGATGCATTCCAACTGTGTGAAATCAAGGGGGTGAAATCAAGAGAGTGCCAGCCGGGGGCGGGCAGCAGGCGGGGGTCTCTGCCCATGGATCACCCCGCTGAGCTCAAGGACAGCGGGACCACCCCAGAGGAGAAAACTGGGAAAACTCATGGTAAGGGGCCAAGGGGCATGTGTCTATTCAACCAGCAGTCACGGGGTCCGCCTGCACCCGGCGGGAGGTCCTGCAGCACCGTGGGAAGCTCTGGGAGGGGAGCGGGGCAGTGAGGGCCTTTGGGAGCAGCTTAGGATCGTCACTAGGGTTCTCTCCCCTCTGCCCAGGCTTGCCCAGTGACCCGCCTATACCCACCCCTGCTCTCCAGAATTAGCCACTGAGGGACCGCACAGGTGATGGAGGCCCATGGATATCGGGGCAAGCATAGCCTGCTGGCTGGTGAGAGAATTCACTCTCAGTGGGGACAGGGTCAGTAGGAAGCATCAGTCTTGCCACCAGGTGGCGTGTCTCACACCTGGATACTCTGAGCACAGGTCCCCAGGAACCCTATCTCCCCGCCCCCCACCGCCTGGCTCTCACTTACATCCCTCCTTGCTGATGAAGGCTCCCTGCGGAGCCTGCGGGATGCCCTTCCACACGGTGATGGGCTTGGGGTAGCCGGGGTCCGTGGCCCGCCGCTCCTCACTGTAGCGCCAGTACCGCTCGCCCTTGAAAAAGTAGGTCTTGCCCACCGGCTCCCAGCGCAGTGCTGTGTCGATGCCTTCTCGGGGCAGACAGCTGCCCAGCTCCCCCAGGCTGTGGGGGTACCCGGGCTCCACCGTCACCTCCTTGAATACCCAGTACTTGTCACCTGCAGCCGAGAGGAGCCAGGATCAGCCTTTCCCAGTTACTGGGTGCCAGGGGTGGGGGGGCAGGTGCCACTCACGCACCTTCTATGGGGCCTGATGACACGGGGGCTGGGAGGTGGGTGAATGTTGAGCAAACAGAGTTCTGGGCTGGCACTGCTGCCCCCTGTGAGACTGACACCCAGGCAGGGCTCAGGGGGCCAGACAAGAAGCCACAACTACAGCCCTGTTCTCTTTCTCTTTTCCCTGTCAC